ATTCATACAGTGCAAACACATCTCCTTTAGATGCGATAGCAATTGACCGATTACATGCATTATAATTGCGTCATATCAGAAAGGAAGTGAGATAGGGTTGGCAGACTCACTGCACGATGTAAATTTGAAATTTACCAGGATAAAATGCGCCCTTTTGTGGTCGATGAGACAAATTCGCGTCAAAATGATATTACTAGGTTTAGGTGCATGCGAATAGCTATTTTTATTGCCGAAACAGCTTTGGTTTTAAGCTTCTGATGAAAAGAACAGTTACCGCGTGTTATCTTTAGATCCTTTCATAACTCTCTCAAGGTTCATCAATCATAACAAACATTTTGTCATGCCAAACAATTGGTACTTTTTGGGAACCCAATTGTACGATGCGAATCGATTTTATCCGCGCAGGAAAACTAATTAATACTGTCATTTAATCCCAAAGCTGCATCTTCCTTTCCATTTCATTGGATACTGCTGCCCTTTTGCTTGATCGAACTGCAGCTGTAATTTGATCGTGTTAGTCAATTCACGGTAGTTTCAAATTTATGTTAATTTAATTCCGTTTTCCAGTGAAGGCGAATACATTAATTAAAGGTTAATGTTTCGTTGCGGCTAACTAAATGAGAGGTAAAAAAAATACAAAGCGATTACGGGTAATAACCGAATAATGCTCGGTCATTAATGTGGAGACTTTTTACGGAGTGTATACGATTAGTTGTTTCAGAGAGATTGCCTTATTTAAACTACTACACCTTCACGTTCTAAGCTTTTGTCCAATAAAGTTGAAGTGACTCATACAATGTTTTAGTTTCTATAGAAACAGGTGGTAAACGACTAGGTTTAACATACAAATCTATCGAATAGAGTAACCTAGCTGTAACCGACCATTAATTTATGGGAGCTACAAAAACGCAGGGATTATTTATATTTTTATGCGGATGTCCTTCTGAGGTGGTAACAATAGGCATTAGACTATAATCATTATTCCGCTTGGTGGAGTGTGAGGTTCACGTTTTGCAAAATTATTTCATCTATGTATAAATACTCGCTACCTTCATGATTTAGATCACATAATTTTTTTTAATTAAGGGCTTGTCTCTTTCCCTTTCTCAACAAACGTAAAACCTCCCTGATTTTAAACTACTTTTAAGAACATTTCTTATCGTTTACCGTATAAGTACAGAAACTCAAAAATATTGACCCATGACCTATTCCTTGGTCACCTAATACCATCACTGGATCCATACGTGGTATGGATTATTATCTTCGTCGGAAAATTATCGACTGTACATTCTGAAGGCTACTAAAGGTGCTCACTGCACTAAAAGAACTTTGAGTTTCTGCACTCCAGGCTCCAGCTAGTGTTCATAAAATTTTAGTTTAGGGATGTTTCATGTGAACACTCACATTTCCCAGATTCAGGAAAATTAAAAGTACGGAAAATTTGATATAACAAAGCATTTGATAGAAACGAGATAAAAATAGCATACTGTTCTGTTACGAACCGAATTGTTTATAATGTAAATTAAGTGCGTCACGCTGTGTGAATGGTATCACCTTGTCATCCCGTGTCTGCTGATATCTTATATAGGCTCGTTAAAAAAGTCACTTCCCCATCACACACTGTGTCCTCTTCCTTATCAATTTTATTATATTAAGTACCTTATCAAGCATTGTTAAGGAAAAATGCGCCTCTTCAATTTATATAATATTATAATGTAATTGAAATCATTACTTGACGAAATGGGGCACCCATCTCATCAATCATTTTCACGAAGTTCGCGCGTGATTCTCATTTCTCACGTAAAAATTGCAAAAATATTATAATATATTCGTACTTGAAGATCAAAGTGATACATTCAGTTAACAAAGCATCTCCTTCCGTTCTTGAAAATTAATGGCCTTTATTTTCTCATTTTTGTTAGTCGTCTTTGTCAAAATTTATTGTTGAAGATTAATTGGCACAAATTGCGTGTTGTGTCACACATTAATTATGGTAATTCAATGGTCCTATGCTAACAATGAACGTGTGCATGTTGTTTCTCCGCGAATGTCAAATGTTGGATGGACGAAAACAATATCGCATTTGCAAACCAAATTTCCTTCGTTTTCCATATTAAAATTACAAACATTGACCGAATTTGTAAGACACCAAAGCAACAATGTGAGGGTGAGTAGGAAATCCTTGAGAATTGCTTAAGAAACTCAGAAACCATACAGTAGCCCAGGCAGCTCGAGGGTGGTTAAACAAACGCATGTTACAACTGAAGAAAAAACGAGGCCACGGAAGATGGAAACAAGCCCGTCCAAACCTCATCCTGATTGTGCTAGTTCCGTGGATTTTCATGAAACTATCGTGATACTCGGAGATCATAGCTTTACACTGCTCACGGAGATTTGGAAAAACTGCATGGATTTTGTTTCTTTGAAACGTTTGTCAGCCAACTTCTTAAATTTAATCATCTAAACTCTACTGCCGAACCAAGAAGGATAATATAGAATGACAACGCTTAATTTTTGGAACGGACGTTTCGATTATATTACAGAATAAAATCTATCATCCCTTCAATGGGAGAATTTGCTTGCGCAATTAGAGGTAACGGTTGAGGGAGGAGAACACCTCCTCCGCGACTTTTTGATCTGGTTAAAAACGTCTAGTTTTGAATCTGAGACCTCGTATATTCTGGTAAAAGACTTCAATAACACCAATATCACAATTTTAAGTGTCCATGTTCACCTGAACTCCCGTTTTGAGATTTTGCAGAAGTTTCGTCATCTTATAATACAATCCGACTCACGATCTAACGCAAAAGAGGTCTTTGGCTAATATAAATTAACTTACGGTGCTAGCTAAATCCTTGTCAACTAAATATTGTTCTTTATAAACGAGCTCCTAGCGAGTTGATAATTTTGCGATGCTTGTCCAAAATCGACAATGAAATATTCGAAGCGGGATAATGTGAGGAATATCACCACAAGCAGGATGAGATTTGGAAGGGTTCTGCTTCCAATGTGTTGGTGTCTTGGTGGGCAGAAAGTCGACTGTTATCAACTTCCATTTCTTAATTAACCAATGCATTAGGGGATTAGACGACCATAGTGAAAGAATTGGCTTACAAAAATTGAATGGACGTATACGACAGCGTAAACGCCTAAAAAGGCCTTTTCATTGATTTCTTGCTGTAGGTAGAGTCTTTGTTTTGCATTCGGAAGGAAGAAAGAAAAAAAGTTGCAAGGGAAACAGCGCCTTCCTACATACATTTCAGATTTTATAGCATTTGCATATTAATTTGTAGTGTACTGCCCTAAGACACTCTTCATGAATGATTCATCTCACCTTTCCGGTTTCGAATAGAGGTTGGTTTTTTTACAGATCTGTCCTGTAGAACTCTGAAAGGATAATGATAACCTTTCTGTTTCTTTGGCGTACTTGCAGATCTGAAACTAAATTGCCGCGTTAATTGTTGACAGTAGTCATTCGTTGAATCTCAAAATAATGAAAGTATAAATTAAGACTACAAGAAAGCGGGTAGACGTGTTTCGTAAAAAAAGAACCGCACACACACAATCACAAATCGCATTTAAATAGACGTGAAGATTTTTTAATCTACGTTTTGCTTAATGACGTGAATCGCGTTGAACTTAAGAACGTACATGAAGAGAAACAGGATTTACGTTAAAAAAAAATTACAAAGCAGCTGCGGTAGTATGTTTATTTATAGTCGCCATTGTCTAGACCGGCTTTCTTCTTTTTACAAGCAATTAAAGTAAATGAAATTTGAAAAGTACCCGATCATGATAATGGAATCAATTAAAGTACATGATTACCCGGATGCGAAAGTGATCGACTGTAATCCAGATCTTTGCCTTTTTCACCTATGATTATACCAAGTGCAAATACTGAAAGGTTGCAACCCCTGGGGATTTCCTACGCGAATTTCTCCTGAAGCTTTTGCATAAAAATAATTGTTGAAATTGGTCAAAATCGCTATTTTATTTCTTTACACTATGATAATACCTACTTATGCATATGACACATTGCCACCAATACCAGGTATTGTGATCGTTTTGTAAGTGTTTTTCTTTGAACAAGGAACTATGACATATCCGGAACATTTATTTGTAATTCTAAAGCATTCCAATAGGAACCATTTTGTAAGATCATGTCATTAACATATCGTGATTTTATTATTAAAGCGGCGACCAAAGGTGATAATTAAGGACAGCCATTGGTCTCCGACGATTATAAAAAAGCTTTTACAAAAAGAAGCACATTTCAAATTCAGAGATTATCGTTTTGATGTGCGGTTTTTTAAAAGTGGTTTTCCGAAAGACCCAAATGACAAATTATCCATTAAACGCTGGATCTTATTCATGTTTGTCATTTTATAGTTTAAAGCGAGGACGAGCGAATGACTAAACTAAACCTTAGCCTTAGGCGATGCCTTTAGCATCTTTTAAAAAAGCTTATTGTATCTTTTTAATAAGCGGGAACATAATAAATCAGTACCTATTATAAACGAACACAAAGTTTCTAATGAAACTTTTTTGTACAGGTAATCTAAAAGGTGAAGGTTACGATACCGCTCTTTCTTTTGAAGACTCTTAAGTCTTAACACTACTGATCTGAGGATCGATTCACACTAATAATTAAAAAATAAGAAAGTGTAAAACCATTATCAATTATCTCTATTTTACTGTTTTGAGTTCAATCCATCATTTCACTATATCAGTCATCGTAACCACCCTACAGCAAGTGAATTCAGGTGTAATGACCTCACAGTGCATTCATTCACTAACATATTTAAACTAGGTATTTGCCTGTAATAATGTGCGAATTTGACAAGTTCATTATGTGTATGTTTTGCAGTACCTAAGTAAAATATAGCCTCTGGGTTAAGTTTTTGACCCCCCCAATGAATGTGGGAACCAAATTTTGCAGTATGAGATCAGTATCCAAATACATGCGGTGTACACATTCTTAAAGAATTTTATTGTTTCAGGACACGAGGTGGAAGGAAATGTATCGACTAAGTCTGGATTGAGCATGCTCAAAATTTGAGCACAATGTACTACTTGCAAATTTGGAGTTCAGCAGTATTACAGCATGTCACAATTTTGTTCTCGTTGCTGTTGCGGAGTGCGGAGGTGTCTGCTTGGTTTCCTGACACCACGACAAAAGTCATAAATGATATTAAACAAATAAGCACAATAACATTTCTTGGGAATAACTCGTTTCCAAATCATTTTACTGTCTTGAATCAAGACACCAATTCCATCATACTTGGTGGGAGAAACACTGTATATAATTTAAGCATATACGACTTTACTGAGCGCAAAGACAAACGTCTGAAGTGGTTCTCGTCCGATGCACACACTCAAATATGCCAGTTGAAAGGGAAATCGGAAGATGACTGTCAGAATTACATTCGTATTTTAGTGTCATTATCTACAGAGCGTCTCTTGGTTTGTGGAACGAACTCATATAAGCCGTACTGTAGGCATTACACGACACTGGTAAGATACTAACCATAACTTGCACAACCGTGTAACATTACATTTGTAGAACGACGAATATGTGACGGAAAAAGAATTTTCTGGAGTAGGTATTTGTCCATTCAATCCAGAATACAACAACACCGCGGTACAAAGTAATGGCCAGATCTTCACGGCAACCATTGCCGATTTCTCGGAGAGAGACCCAGTCATCTATCGTGAACCCCAACGAACAGAACTTTCTGATCTCAAGCAATTAAATGGTAGTAGGTTTAAATTTGTAAGTAGCTTACACTAAAAGTTGACATTTTCAGCGCCCAACTTTGTTAGTTCTATGCCATACGACAATTACATTTTCTTCTTCTTTAGAGAAACGGCGGTCGAATATTTAAATTGCGGAAAGGTGCGTAGAAACAAACATTAACAAATTTGGAAAACAATTTCGCCTTTCAGATTATTTATTCCCGAGTTGCGCGCGTATGCCAAAATGACAAAGGAGGCCCTCATCAATTTGGCGATCGGTGGACCTCGTTTCTAAAGGCACGCTTGAATTGCTCCCTTCCCGGAGAGTACCCTTTCTACTTTGATGAAATTCGTAAGAACACAACTGGCCCGATCGTAAGCGCAATTCAAATTAAATTTTAGAGTCCACATCTAACATAATCCAAGGACGATATGGTTCGAATTTATCCCAACAAATAATATACGGTACCTTAACGACGCCCAATAATGCAATTGGGGGTTCTGCCATATGTGCCTACAGCATGAGAGATATTCTTCGAGTTTTCGAAGGAAGCTTTAAACAGCAAGAGAGCATTAATTCGAATTGGCTTCCCGTTTCAAGACAGAAGGTAAGATCTTGTGGTAGTAAGCAAATATCTAATTGCGTTCGTGTTAGGTACCAGAACCGAGACCTGGTCAATGTGTGAATGACAGCAGACTTTTGCCGGAAAGCGTTGTTAACTTTGCTAAAACACATTCGTTAATGGAAGATGCTGTGCCCGCTTTATTCAATCAACCTATCCTAGTCCGAGTGAGTCTTCAGTATCGATTCACGGCAATCACTGTCGATCCGCAAGTTGAAACAGTGAGTGGTGACGTTTTTGATGTTCTCTACGTTGGTACTGGTAAGTAGTTTTGATTCATCTGCATGTGCCTGTTTATACTGATCTATTTCACCTTAGATCAGATTTTTCCTAGAGATTAATCACTATAGCATCTTTAATGTTGTATAAAATTAAAAATGTCAAGGCACTTTTGGTTATTCAGGGTATGTGATGGTATTTGAGGAATTGAAGGTGAATGATCATTATTTTTCTGCACATGTGCAAACATAGTTACTTCGGACATGGACATGTGTTTTTTTTTAAACAGAGTTAATGTCGTTTTTGATGTTGTGGTCGGGGGTAGTCTCGCACCCATTTTCCCTACCTACTCTCCTATCCTCTTTCCCAGGTACCTTTTATCCCGGCTAGCCTCATACAAAAATAAAAAATCACAAAAAAACATCACGCCCACCTGGCAGCAGTGATAAAATGTAAACTCGGACACAACTTACTTTATGAAAATGGAAAATTTCGCCCACATTATACGGCGCAGGGGTTCAGATTGTCCCCAGTACCGGTCAGAAGCGAGGCGGAGCGGGCAGGCCTCGCCCAAGTGTTATCCAGCGGCTGCTCGGCGTCGATGGTAGGTGAGCAGACTTCGATGTATGTAAAAAATACTGGCACAATTATAGGAGAGAGTGGGGACTTCTCCTCACTCCGCGAAATAAGCAGAGACAAGGAGGAGGGCTATCCCCAGTTCCAGTCTATAGAAAGAAAGTCAGTCCTTTTATAATCTCTGAATCATTATTGGTGTTAATGCACAAAGTAGAGGTTTACTGTTAATAAAAACTGTATGGAATGAGCATGCAAGATGCTTGCCTTCAAGCTAAAAAAAATGTGAGATTTTGAGGATGAAAGTAAACCACCTGAAACATTGAACGTGTCTAAAGGGGTGATTTATTGCCACGACTTTAACTGTAAAGGAAAACATCTTGCAAACTCAAATTGACTATAAAACATAAAAAAGCTGCCTTCAGGAAGTACCAAAAGCGCCCAAGTATTGAAAATCATATTACCTTCAAAAGAGCCTCGAGATTGGCCTTTTGAGAACATTCCATGGTTGCTATACCTAGGCTTGAAATTAGAAATGACCTGTCAGACTATGAGAAGGAAGCCACCCCAAATACAAGAATTTAAAAATCGGTAAGGAATACGCCAGAGCTGGGCAGTATTCGATTTTGTAAATACTTTTTAGTATTCAAATCCTTTAAAGTATTCAAATACTTTGTAATTAAATACTTTTATGGAAACAATATTTGTATTTGTAACTCAAATACTTTCACAAATATTTAGTATTCGAATACTTCGCAAAGTATTTGGATACTTCGTAAAGTATTCGAATACTTCGCAAGGTAAAGTAAGAAAATTCATAGTGCTGTAACTTTTGAAATAGTAGACCAATCTTGGAACTGTTGAAATTATGGATTCTACAGGCCACATTCTATAAGAAAATGTTTTTTCCGGGTCGATCTGAGACAATTTTTTTTGCGGGCCTCAAAAAAAGGCAGTGTATAACCTTCCTTTTTTACCAAAAATCGACTACACCAAAATTTCTCGGGAAAACACTTTTTCTTATTAATTTTGGTGCGTAGAATCCAAAACAATTTGTACTTTTTCGATCAGACTTCTCAATCAAAAGTTATAGACTAGAAACCAATTTCGAAAAAAAATTCAAAGGGCTGTAACTTTTGAACTAGTAGCCCAATATTGGAACTGTTTGAAATTATGGATTCTACAGGCCACATTCTATAAGAAAATTTTTTTTCCGGGTCGATCTGAGACAATTTTTTTTTTCGGGGCTCAAAAAAAGGCAGTGTATAACCTTCCTTTTTTACCAAAAATCGACTGCACCAAAATTTCTCGGGAAAACACTTTTTCTCATTAATTTTGGTGCGTAGAATCCAAAACAATTCGTACTTTTTCGATCGGACTTCTCAATCAAAAGTTATGGACTAGAAACCAATTTCGAAAGAAATTTCAAAGGGCTGTAACTTTTGAACTAGTAGCCCAATCTTGGAACTGTTTGAAATTATGGATTCTACAGGCCACATTCTATAAGAAAATTTTTTTTCCGGTCGATCTGAGACAATTTTTTTCTTGGGCCAAAAAAAAAGGCAGTGTATAACCTTCCTTTTTTACCAAAAATCGACTACACCAAAATTTCTCGGGAAAACACTTTTTCTGATTAATTTTGGTGCGTAGAATCCAAAACAATTCGTACTTTTTCGATCAGACTTCTCAATCAAAAGTTATAGACTAGAAACCATTTTCGAAAGAAAATTCAAAGGGCTGTAACTTTTGAACTAGTAGCCCAATCTTGGAACTGTTTGAAATTATGAATTCTACAGGCCACATTCTATAAGAAAATTTTTTTTCCGGGTCGATCTGAGACAATTTTTTTTTCGGGGCTCAAAAAAAGGCAGTGTATAAACCTTCCTTTTTTACCAAAAATCGACTGCACCAAAATTTCTCGGGAAAACACTTTTTCTTATTAATTTTGGTGCGTAGAATCCAAAACAATTCGTACTTTTTTGATTAGACTTCTCAATCAAAAGTTATAGACTAGAAACCAATTTCGAAAGAAAATTCAAAGGGCTGTAACTTTTGAACTAGTAGCTCAATCTTGGAACTGTTTGAAATTATGGATTCTACAGGCCACATTCTATAAGAAAATTTTTTTCCGGGTCGATCTGAGACAATTTTTTCTTCGGGCCTCAAAAAAAGGCAGTGTATAACCTTCCTTTTTTACCAAAAATTGACTATACCAAAACTTCTCGGGAAACACTTTTTCTTATTAATTTTGGTGCGTAGAATTCAAAACAATTCGTACTTTTTCGATTAGACTTCTCAATCAAAAGTTATGTACTAGAAACCAATTTCGAAAGAAAATTCAAAGGGCTGTAACTTTTGAACTAGTAGCCCAATCTTGGAACTGTTTGAAATTATGGATTCTACAGGCCACATTCTATAAGAAAATCTTTTTTCCCGGGTCGATCTGAGACAATTTTTTTTGAGGGCCTCAAAAAAAGGCAGTGTATAACCTTCCTTTTTTACCAAAAATCGACTACACCAAAATTTCTCGGGAAAACACTTTTTCTTATTAATTTTGGTGCGTAGAATCTAAATCAATTCGTACTTTTTCGATTAGACCTCTCAATAAAAAGTTATGGACAAAAAACAAATTTCGAAAAAAAATTCAAAGGGCTGTAACTTTTGATCTAGTAGCCCAATCTTCAAACTGTTTGAAATTATGGATTCTACGGGCCAAATTCTATAAGAAAATGTTTTTTCCCGGTCGATCTCAGACAATTTTTTTTCCTGCCTCAAAAAAAAGGCAGTACTTTTAAGTTATTCAAATAATTGAGAACAATTTAGAAATGTTTAGGGAAAGTTTCCATTGTCACAAAATCAAATATAAAAATCCGATACAACTGAATACCGAACGATCCTGGAGTGAAACTGTTTGACTCGATAGTCTATGTAACTTAAAAACAATAGGGACCTTTCTTATATCCTTAAGACCATGTGTACCAATTTTCAAAGCGATCGCACGTTTCTAAACAAACGATCATGCACACGGACAAACGGATGGTCAAAAATGGATATGTTCCAAAATCGCTAGGATTAATTTCAGAAAGGTGTACGTATCATGTGCATGACGCTTTAAAAACTGGTACGCGTATTCTTAAGGATATAACTGGTATAAGAAAGGTCCTGGTAGGTATACCTCCTATATAATAATATAATAATAATAATAATAATACGCTTTTGCTCACCTTAAATTTGTATATAAAAATAGAAATATAAAAAAAGCTAACCCCATACAAAGTATAACTTGATTTTTTAAGTAGTATTAAGACTTATCTAGTATACTATTTTAAATGTTTAATGTATTTGAGTGACAACTATTTGAATACTTTTTACTGTATTCGAATACTTTTCAAAGTAAGTTAATGAAATACTTTTCAAAGTATTCGAATATATTCTAAAGTATTTGAATACTTATTTAATAAAGTATTTGAATACTTTTCAATGTATCTGTATCTAGTATTCGCTTGTGCTGGACGTAAAAGTATTCAAATACCTTTGATTTGTGTAAAGTATTTACTATTTAGTATTCAAATACTTTTTGAAAGTATTCTGCCCAGCTCTGGAATACGCCTTACATAAGATCATGTATACATGCAGATGGGTCTAAGACAAAAAATGGCGTGGGAAGTGCGTTCTCCCCTTGGGTGATGGCATTTACGTGGAAACTGAATGAGTATGTGTCTATTACTTTTGCAGAGCAATATGCCAAGCATTGCTATTCTGTTCTATGGAGGTACAATCAAGACATTTTCTGATCGTCACTGACAGTATAAATAGGTACCATAAATAGATACAACAAAACCACGAATTTGCAGTAAAGATAAAAATGGGATATTGTGATGTCGGTACTTCAACTTCCGGGATGTGTTTTACCTTCAAATCTAATTGCAGGTCAAAGTAGAAACCACACACAAAATTGTCACGAATGTATTTTTATATTGTGAACCGAGTTAATTATAAGATAATTAAAAGTATTTTATTTGTTTCAGATAATGGAAAGGTATTGAAAGTTGTGAATATTCCCAACGAAAATGGGGCTAATGCCGTTGTGATATCGGAAAATGCGGTATTTTCACATAACACGCCAGTAAGAGAATTAAGAATTGCGCCTGGTTACGGTAGAGTAGTCGTTGTGAGTTCAAACGAAGTTAAACTAGCGACATTTAATCATTGCTCATCAACCGATCATTGCCAGTAAGTACAACAAGCTCAACATTTGACAAGTTTATTACCGCCACCTTTCAGGAATTGTGTAGCACTTCAAGATCCACATTGCGCATGGGACACACAGCAGTTAGCTTGCGTTAGTGTGGACGCTGTTAGTACGCTAAGAAGGTCGCTAATTCAAGATGTTCCACATGGCAACACCCGAAAATGCTCCCCTATTGGTAGGTTTCTTGAGCTATCAATCAAGTCTCTATAGTTTGTGTATTTTTTTTTAAAACGGTTTAAGCAATAATATAACTTTTATGGGGGATTGCATTCAGACTACAGGACCAGGGGGTTTAGTTGAGACACTGTACATAATTAGCGATTAGAGAACAGCCCGTAACTCTAAGATAGTAAAAGTTTCCTTTATTTAACAGCAAACAACAAAATTCCCACAAGAGTGTACGACGACAACACTCTGGAGAATGAAATTTTGATTGATGGAAAAATTGAGGATCCATTGGCCAAACCAAACGACGAGGAGGTCGAATGCGATGATGGACTGACGGAAAACCGTATAACTGGCTGTGCGGTACGGCAACATTTGGTCATCTATACTGCGAAAACGCTACACGTCATTGTGGTGTGCGCTAGTTTGGTGGCACTGTTTCTCGGCTTTATCGCCGGCTACCTATTTTCGCGGAGATTTCACCCCTATGGTCATTACCCCAATGCGCCGTTTATTGAACAACATAATCATTTAGAAAGGTAGGTACTTATTTCATTTTTCGCCTTTGCAGCGTTGTTGCCAAAGCCCTAACTAACACAAACTATGGACGTAAAATCTCTTTTTATTACCATTAATGCTACTCAGTATCATATTTTCTGCCATCCTGGCTGAAATAAGTTAACATTACATTATTTTAAAGGGAAGGGGCACCTAAAAGACGCATGCGCGTGGAAGCAGTTACGCTCTGTAAGTGCTAATATTATTTTTGTGTTTTTGTTGCAGGTTAAGCGGCAACCCAAACGGTTTTTTAACCCCTCGCGCCAACAAGACAGTGAATTTAGTGCTGAACGTTCCTCCGTCCCCCGCTCCTAAGAAAGATAACCTCGAAACGAAAGACCTAAATATAGCCAGTGACGGAACTTTGCAAAAAATTAAAAAGACATACATTTGAGAGACTACATTAATATATTCGTGTACCTGCCTACTGTTTCATGAAAAGTGCTTACCAAAAATATGAGAAATTAATGCACAAGTTTGCGAATTAAATGTATTTCTGCACAAGTAAATCTTAGCTATTTTTATATTGAGTAGTTTTAAACGCGGCATAGTTGAATATAAGTTGAATTGTACATATGAATCGAGCTTGACTGAATGTAAAGTTTTATTTACGATATCGAAAACGTATAAGTAAATTGTTATTTTTTTCTCGTGTCAAAGGCAACATTTTTATTGTGATAATCAGTTGTTTCGTAGTTTTGAGTGTCGTTACAGGTAGTTTAGATTTTATGGCATCTGTAGATTTATGTTTAAGAGAAACACTTATTTTAGCAGTTACTTCATTCGGTGTCTAATTCTTTTTGTTTAGTTTTTAATATTGAAATGTTAGCAACCACTTTGGTATCTATTTTTGTATATTACACAAGGGCAATAATGAATAGAATGAAACCGTCGAGATTTTATGTTTGTCTTAACAGTATAACAATCTATTAGGCTGTGAGAAACGTCTATAATTTAGTTAAATTTTGGACTGTCTATTTAAGGACTAGATAAGTATTACTTCTGATTTCGTACTAAATTCGATTACGTATCCAGTTCATTTTAAAACTGTGTATAATATAGTAATATATGATATAAGCAAATTTATTCAGAAATTTATATTGGAGAAGATTTAAATCGTACAAATTACATATTCTTGTAAGTTAGAACATAAGTGACTTGACATTCCATAGATTTCTACCTTGTACATTTTTAAAATCAATAAAAATTAATATTTTATTTTATCTATTATTTTTCAACGTTCCCTAATGTTTTTAGGAGTTTATTAAAATATTGTGGTTTAGTGGTGTTTTTATTTTACTTTTTCTAACTTCTACGACAGCAAGAGTTCAGTGCTATTGATATCTTCGTTTTCCGAACATGAATATTCTAGAAATCCCGATAGTCATCAAGGCGCCAACACTCGTAAGAACTTGGAGAACATTCTAGAAACATTGTTGTTTGCTATATAAACAAATTGAATTTCATGTTAGTCTTAATATCGAACATGTGTTACATTTGCAAGCACTTTGATACGTTAACCCTTGCAAGGAACCAAAGACTGAGGACATATGAACTTTCGGGGTTATAGTCAATGAGCAGTTGTTTAGTCGCCTCTTACGACACGCAGTGCCTTCTGCGGTAGGGATATTCTCTCCCGCCCCTACACGGGTTATAGAAATATCCAATCCAATAAGAGGGTTGATTCTATACGCGCTCTGGTCATGTATATTACGTTTGTCTTTATGAGAAGTATTTTAGACCAATTTCAACGGTTGCGTTTACGCAGAGGCTTATGATTAAAATTTCAAAAACATCTCGGAATAAAAAAGTTGATCCTGCGCACTTAATTTTGAACCGTGCGTTTAACTTCATTAAGAGATGCTAAAGCTAAAATTTCAATAAAATATCTCCACAAATAAGAAAATCCGTAATGTACATACCTATCTATAACAAAATTATTGTACCTAGTTATTAATTAATAGTAGTAGTTCTAATTATGGGTCAACGTGGAAGAGTAAAAAGTCCAATTACAGTGAACACTTTTTATTCATTTACAGTTTACAATCAATGACAGTAATAACAATGAACATTTATTGATCAACCCCTATTGAAATCCATCACGAGTTGACCGATGTGTATATGAAACATTTTAAAGTTCACAAGGTGGGTGCCGTGGATCATGGATTTGTACCGGCAGACGAGCGTTGGGTCCACTACTTCACGCCAGAGACAAAGAAACAATCACAATAATGGCGGTATTCAAGTTCTCCAAGTCCCAAGAAGTTCAAACACACGCGCCGTCACCAGCGAGGAGAGTATTCTGCGACAGGAAAGGCGTTCTGAAAAGAGCCGACGCATTAAAACAATACCTTCTCAAGCTGAAGGCAGCTCTCGATTTCTTCCTGTGCAGGTCGGCGGAAGAGTGGTACAATGCGCGTATGGAAATGCTTCCATTACCTGTAATTGGTTTTGTAATAAAATTATGTTTGCTATATGTAAAAAAGTATTGGAGAGCTTAATTTTCGGACAACCCTTGTACAAAGGTTTCTTCAAAAAGCAGAGTGGGAACGCCATCCCTACGCGTTCCTGCCCCACTACACCACTGAAAATACCAGTAGTTTTATTATGCTAAATGGCATCACAACTGTCAATATATGGATAGTAACATACTGTAGGATTGCTAATTGTACCACCCTGTTCGAGCCAACTGCTAGTGATTTGAAAGTTGTGCGAAAAATTTTCATTTTCTTAGGGTTAACGCAAACCGTCTACTGCGACCCAGTTCCCATCCCTGAGTGAAGCTGAGATTGATCTCAGACAAGTCGTTATTTTATCAATTTCCAAAAAAAGGAGTTTATTTCTGAAACACAGAACTCTTGATAGTAATATTGTCTTTATTTATCCAAAAAAGAAAAATAAATAAGAAACATAAAATTTGTTGGCCAGATTTCTGCTGCCTCAAAGCAAATTCAAATGAAATTCAATTTTTTTCCAATTATAAATATTTTTCAGTTTTGAGAAATTGTCACAAACTGATTTTACATTTAAAATCCACCTCCATTTGAGTTTTTTCTTATGTCCATGTTCATATTCAAAAACACGCGTTCCAATAGCCGGTTACAGTATTTGTACCCGGCAAAGTCAAAAAAGTACATGCCACAATTTAGAGAAATATTTTTAAAAGGAACACTCCGATTTGAAATGAGATGACATCTCTATCCATTTACATTCCACTTTAGCGGGCGACGCTAAATAAAATGCTGCTGCGTTTTATGAAATATATTTACAATATACAATACTAAATGTTAGCTAAAGTCTACGTCTCGAGCGCTGGCGTCGGAGTGAGCGTCTCCTGGCGCGAGGTCGAGCTGGCAAGGTGAACTGGTTCCGGAGGCAGAGAGCTGGTTCTTTTTTGAAGCCCCATCGAAGCAGCAATTGCCTTGCAGAGTTTGGAGCTCTGCTTTTACGCGGTAGGTACGCTCTCATCGGTTGGCCGTTTTAGTTTGCTGCTTGATGTGCATGCGGCGCGTCGCCACATCCATCAAGGTTTCATTCTCGATCCAAGACTTGGGTTTTGCATCGTCTACATACCTTTTAACAAACGAAAATTCATCACAATCATTAACAGGATAATCAGTTGGTCGAAAAATAGTCACTGTAAGCATTGTCTTCTAGGTAATGTAATCAAATCAAATAAAAAAGTGGGAGATTGTTCTGATGCAGTGGGACCGCCAAAATCTAGACGTCTGGTCACCTCTGTTAGTGCAAGGCGAAGTTCAGAGTGTCAATAAAATAATGCCATCTGTTCTTCCACTTAACCTTGAACTACTCTTGGGGTATCTTTTTTGGTAGTGGCTTAATTATTAATTATCCTTAGTTGATCTGAGCAAACTTCTCTCTTCCCCTAAATGGTCAACCATATGAAGCCAGACTTTGACAGTAATTTTTTGTAATTTTTGAGCTTGCACGTAAAAACGGTTATCCCCACTCCACTTTTAGAGCTATGTGACCACAGAGCTGGGCAGTATATTCGATTTTGTAAATACTTTTTAGTATTCAAATCCTTTAAAGTAGGTATTCAAATACTTTGTAATTAAATACCTACTTTTATGGAAGCAGTATTTGTATTTGTAACTCAAATACTTTCACAAATATTTAGTATTCGAATACTTCGCAAGGTATTTGAATACTTAACCTTCCTTTTTTTTACCAAAAATCGACTACTCCAAAATTTCTCGGGAAAACACTTTTTCCTATTAATTTTGGTGCGTAGAATCCAAAACAATTCGTACTTTTTCGATCAGACTTCTCAATCAAAAGTTATAGACTAGAAACAAATTTCGAAAAAAAATTCAAAGGGCTGTAACTTTTGAACTAGTAGCCCAATCTTGGAACTGTTTGAAATTATGGATTTTACAGGCCACATTCTATAAGAAAATTTTTTTCCGGGTCGATCTGAGATGATTTTTTTTTCGGGGCTCAAAAAAAGGCAGTGTACAACCTTCCTTTTTTACAAAAAATCGACTGCACCAAAATTTCTCGGGAAAACACTTTTTCTTATTAATTTTGGTGCGTAGAATCCAAAACAATTCGTACTTTTTCTATCAGACTTCTCAATCAAAAGTTATAGACTAGAAACCAATTTCGAAAGAAAATTCAAAGGGCTGTAACTTTTGAACTAGTAGCCCAATCTTGGAACTATTTGAAATTATGGATTCTACAGGCCACATTCTATAAGAAAAATTTTTTTCCGGGTCGATCTGAGACAATTTTTTTGCGGGCCTCAAAAAAGGGCAGTGTATAACCTTCCTTTTTTCCAAAAATCGACTGCACCAAAATTTCTCGGGAAAACACTTTTTCTTATTAATTTTGGTGCGTAGAATCCAAAACAATTCGTACTTTTTCGATTAGACCTCTCAATCAAAAGTTATGGACTAGAAACCAATTTCGAAAGAAAATTCAAAGGGCTGTAACTTTTGAACTAGTAGGCCAATCTTGGAACTGTTTGAAATTATGGATTCTACAGGCCACATCTATAAGAAAATTTTTTCAGGGTCAATCTGCGACAATTTTTTTTGCGGGCCTCAAAAAAATGCAGTAATAACCTTCCTTTTTTATCAAAAATCGACTACACCAAAATTTCTCGGGAAAACACTTTTTCTTATTCATTTTGGTGCGTAGAATCCAAAACAATTCGTACTTTTTCGATCAGACCTCTCAATCAAAAGTTATAGACTAGAAACCAATTTCGAAAGAAAATTCAAAGGGCTGTAACTTTTGAACTAGTAGCCGAATCTTGGAACTGTTTGAAATTATGGATTCTACAGGCCACATTCTATAAGAAAATTTTTTTTCCGGGTCGATCTGAGACAATTTTTTTGTCGGGGCTCAAAAAAAGGCAGTGTATAACCTTCCTTTTTTACCAAAAATCGACTACACCAAAATTTCTCGGGAAAACACTTTTTCCTATTAATTTTGGTGCGTAGAATCCAAAACAATTCGTACTTTTTCGATCAGACTTCTCAATCAAAAGTTATAGACTAGAAACCAATTTCGAAAGAAAATTCAAAGGGGTTTTGAATATATTTGAGTGACAAGTATTCAAATACTTTTCAAAGTATTCGAATACTTTTTATAGTATTCGAATACCTTTGAAAGTATTCGAATACATTCTAAAGTATTTGAATACTTATTTTTTTAAGTATTTGAATACTTTTTAATGTATCTGTATCTAGTATTCGCTTGTGCTGGACGTAAAAGTATTTAGTATTCAAATACCTTTGATTTGTGTAAAGTATTTACTATTTAGTATTCAAATAGTTTTTGAAAGTATTCTGCCCAGCTTTTTGTGACCATCATGTCTTCGTTTCATAGATTTGCCCATATCCAAAAGGTTTTTTTACAAACCCAAAAGAGTTTATAACTCGGATAACTATAATACAGGAAAAGAAAAGTGACAAGACGATGGTAGTTTTTCTACCTCAACGGAAAATGGATATGCCCAGTATTGCACACAAACCCCTCAAATGTACAATCAGACCTCATATCCACAAAAAGGGGAGGGTAGCTCCCAAAGGAAGCAAAAATGAGGTTGTTTTTTCACGAATACCTACAGAGAGTAACTGCTTCCTCATGGGCATACACATTTTGTTAAGTTTGCTTTAAACAAAAAACTTAGAACACAATCTTAAACCTACAAATAACCTCATGTTCAATTTCGCTTAATTGGGTATGCATTTTTGCGGAAAAAATGTTTCGTGTCAAAAATCCGAGCCGCCAGGGTGCAAGCCGGGTATCCTATCCACTACTAAACCAATGTGGCACACGTTAAATCTACTGATCTAAATTACCATTTCATAATTTTGAGGGGAAGGGACTACAAGCAAATAGTTACTCTCTGTAAGTGCTCGTGTTTCTTCATCATTTGGAGCTTTTGTGAAATTTGTGCGTTTCATTTGGTTTTATTAATAAACGTGTACGTATATAAATATAGAAACACTCTTTGACGATCATATAAAATACACCACGACGTAAATTCACAATATATAGCCTAGCTGCTTAGATAATTGAACTTCTCCTAAACGTAACTATACAGTAACAGATCTTGTAATAAGAATAAAAAACTTCACTGAATCTTAAAAATAAATGGATGGACTAACAGAAATAGAACTGCCTAATTTTCACAACCAACAACATTTATTACTGAAACGAGTTGAATTATTGTTCAACACATTATAGGCGTCAACCTAGTAAAATAATTAGTGACCCACATAGAATTTCCGAAATCTTCGAGGATAACAATAACGAAGGGAATGATGGAAATGTCTATGAAGATCACACTCACGTTGACAAACACATCCTGTAGGTGTTCGTCACGTGAAGGTAATTAAGGCAGTAAAGTAAATTTAGGAATAATAAGGAACAGACTGCATGTTATTGTAGATTGTAGTTATCGTACAATGTATAGTCCGAAAACTAGGTCTATTCGCCGGTTTTTGCTGCCAGCATTGTCTCATCAGCTCGTACACTTGAGTAGGTGTATTATCAGGGCAAGACAACACATTCTCCGCTTTTAAAAAACGGACAACTTCTTCGTGCGTCATACCGAAGTACGGCTGGAGAGCGAAAGAGAATATCTCCCATAGACACACGCCAAAAGCCCATACGTCTGATTCTGCAGTGTATTTGTTGTACAGAATACTCTCCAGTGGCATCCACCGCACGGGGATTGCGTCATGCTCATCTCCTTTGTAGTAATCCTAAAATGCAATGTGATATTAGACAAGAACAAAGACTTTTTTCAATTTGGGTTGGTAGATAGAAAGATTCATTAAGTGCCATTATGGTTGCAAGTAAATACTGTGGAATGACAAATTGGCGCTATCTGAAGATACAAGCACATTGTGCAAGATTGCCTCTTTAGACCAAGAGCTCGCGTATAAAAAACCGCATGATAAGGTACCAATGGTTTAAGTATTGAAATGGATAGTGCGTAAGATAGTAAAATAATAAACGCTCGTCTGCCGCTGGTAAGTGGTCACCTGTAAGCCCTATTATAAAATGAATTTTGAAAAAATCGACTCACAATTTCGTTATTAGTACCAAGTTGAAATATGTGTTAAAACATGCGGAAACATTATTAGTTAACGAAACCAAATTGGCAGACGCGTTGGTTGGTAGCATTTTTGAGGCAGACGCAGTTAAATATTTTCATGTCATCTCGTTTCGGCGCATATATTGTAACGTGGTAGAGTGAGACGCGTGCTGCGGTACGCTTTATTAAGAAGTTATTAACACCAACAAATTTAATCAGATTTGCATTTAATAATAAAACTCGCATATATGTACTCTTCTTAAGAAAAATTCCCATACAATAATAAAATATAACATAAATATTTTAATGTGTATAATAAGTCCAGGCGTCATTTTTGCCGAAAGCGTTTTATCATCATTAACAATACCATATAAAATTCTTCCAAAAATTCGACCCGGAAGTATACTTTTTTCAGCCGAACCGAACATTAAAAAAATATATTTTAGCAAATTGTTATTACAGTGTCGAAGAGTTGTTACATCCCTCATTTTAAAACAATCCGTGAATGAGCGTGTTGCAGTTCTTGAAGTATTTTTTCTTTTAGAGAATCCGGTATGAGTTGAAACCTGTGAATATGACACTAGTTTGAATTTAATACCGTGAATTAAAACTTTTTCCGTTTAATAAATTTGATCTTAAGTTTTGAAGGTGTATCATAACTACCACTAAGTATAATTAAGTGTTGAATTTAAAATTTGACCATTTAATTCACTGGAAATTAAATATTTTTCCTCTTCGATGTGGTTGGTTCTCTTCTTCAGACATTGTAATAGGGGATACAAAATATGCATTGATATTTTCCTCTGCTTTTTTATGACGGATTTGGCAATCAAATTTATTGAGCCACATAAAAATTTGGACCAAGTCATAGTTGGAAGTTTTGAATTTTCGTTGAAAATGTGAGTTAATGGACGAGTCTCTAAATTCAAAATAAATATTTGTCCATATACAGGTAATAATATAATTTCTTACAGCGAATACTATTGATAAAGCTTCCCTGTTAAGTTGAGCGGACCTATAATGGTTTATTTCTAATGCTATTAATGATCTTAATCTGAATCCAATAGGTTTTTAACATAATCTAATTTAAATGAGAAATCACAATCGTAGGGTTAGGGGGCTGGAGTTGAATTTGAAGTCTAACTTTAGTACATACTTTGCACTAGTCTTTAGAACTCTCCTATAGGCAATAATGTACCTATGTCTTGATCCAGAATGTAACTCAAACTTTTGAAATGTATTGGCAAGTTTGTCAAGGCTTCTTATTGTTTTTAAGTTTTTCTAAAGTTCTCCTATAATTTTTATCATGTTTCCCTCAAGCCCATCTCGATTACTTCTGAACAAATAAAATCGTCACTCACGTTCTAAGCGACATTGAGAGTATTTTCCCATGGGTTCGGTTAAAAAAAGTGTCCTTTTAAAGTTACCGCATAAGATAATGCCCCTAATGGCACCGCCAAGACAGACAAAGTATTCTGGTAGGTACCTTCGTTAAAACATATCTTGCTGAATGTTGGTCAAAGTTAACTTGTTACTGAAAACTAAACAGACCTAACGTGAACTATGCACCTGCTAATGCACCAACAAACACGCGTAATAATAATTAAATTTTGAATGGATTGTGCCAGCAAAATAAATTCTCTTGGTATGTTGTGCTTCCAGACGTTTGTACCAAGTTATACCCGGGGTGGGAAAGTTCTAACTACCCTCCTTTCCCGGTACGCGAAACATCGCTGAAAAAAATATACTTCCGGGTCGAATTTTTGGAAGAATTTTATATGATATTGTTAATGATGATAAAACGATGCAATTGACGAAAAAGAATCTTTCCTAGGAATTTTTTCGGCGAAAATGACGCCTGGACTTATTATACACATTAAAATATTTATGTTATATTTTATTATTGTATGGGAATTTTTCTTAAGAAGAGTACATATGTGTGTTTTATTATTAAATGCAAATCTGATTAAATTTCTTGGTGTTAACTTCTTAATAAAGCGTACCGCAGCACGCGTCTCACTCTACCGCGTTACAGTATATGCGCCGAAACGAGATGACATGAAAATATTTAAATGCGTCTGCCTCAAAAATGCTACCAACCAACGCGTCTGCCAATTTGATTTCGTTAACTAATGATGTTTCCGCATGTTTTAACACATATTTCAACTTGGTACTAATAACGAGATTGTGAGTCGATTTTTTCAAAATTCATTTTATAATAGGGCTTACGGGTGACCACTTACCAGCGGCAGACGAGCGGTTATTATTTTACTATCTTACGCACTATCCATTTCAATACTTAAACCATTGGTACCTTATCATGCGGTTTTTTATACGCGAGCTCTTGGTCTACTTGTGTTTTGACTGCCGAGTAAAACCATGCTAGAGTGCTTATGAGTACAGAATTACAATACCTCGATTCTCGATATTCACATTTGAGGTTTTAACTCCACCAACAGATACGTTGTGTCAAGACCTTCTCTTTTCTCTTTGCGAATACCCACTTCCAACTCTCTATTGTTTAGAATGCTTCATATGTCTGTTACTATAATGATCCAACCACGTCGAATGAGGTATTGTTGGAAAAAGACACTCCGTTCTCAAAATATTAACATTTGAAATTTTGGATCCACCAACAGATAATAATTAACGGGATTAAATAAATTGACATTAAAACACATTGTGATAAACAAAGGTGTTTTTTCGGATCGCTAACAGTAACGGCTGATTAAAAGCAAATTCCTCAAAAATGAGTGACGTCATTGGAAAATGCCTTGTGCGGTAAATAAAATTTTGTATACAACAGCATATGGTAGGGAATTTAAAAACAATTAAATCGGTTAATGTCAACATTGGCATTTTATTTCTTTGTATAATCACGATCTTGGCTATTACTTTTGCAAAATTGAAGCCGGTCCACTCGGATCCGTGATTCATACAAACTCTGCATTCATTGCAAAGATAAACGTTACCGGAATTTGCATAAGTAACTTTTCTATTCATTTAAGAGGAGATAAGAGGCCAAACTTCCGCAAGGTAAGGGGGGTCAAATAAAAATTGTCACTTATAATTGCACAAGAGGTTTGTATTTTACCGAGTAAATTTGGGTTGTTTAGGTAATGAAAATCTGTTGCCTAGCAATTAGACGAGAAAAACTGTCAACTAATAAAAATGCGACACCGCAGGTGGAGCATTTTTAGGTTGACAGTTTTTCGAGTTCAATTGCTAAAAGGAAACAGATTTGAATTGCCACAACCCAAATTTACTCGGTTTAAATACAAACCTCGAGTGTAATTCGGCAGGACAATTTAACGAACAAGAAATTCACCAAACTAATCAATTATTGACAGACGTCAAACTAGCCATATGGGAAAGGATAATGCGATAATTTGTTCGAAAATGAATAAGTGAAAAAACCACTAGTGCATTTGTCGCTGGAAAAGTTGCAGGTAACTTTTGCCGTTGTCAAAGTGACAATTTCACTGCGGCTTATGCGATTTTTTATACATGAGTTGAATTGTCATTAAAATTTTTTGCCAGTGTGGTAGAGGTTCAATTTTATTTTATGTAAGTGAGATCTCCGACCCTTGTCGGCATTATTAACGATCCTCGAGATCATTTATAATTTTGTATTGCTGTCTCTGTCTACCTGTGTGCACGATAACAATGTTTAGAAACCTCCAATCGTTTCCACGGAGGTATACATGTTCCTAAGAAAGGGCGCTATAGTTTTTTTAGCTACGCTGAGTTATAAAGTTGTAGCCCAAAAACTGTCCATACCTCCAACAAAAGGGGTTCTTTTATAATCATTGTTAGAAAGAAGATACGAAGCTCCGGTTTTCTACATTAGTAAATATTGCTTAAACCTCAATTAACTACAAGGATGCAAGGGTGCATGTGTAATCCCACTTTGTTGTTAATAATTAAAAGAGATTTTTTTCTCTAGGTACATTTAAAAAGATAGAAGATGTCAGAAATCTTGTACCGATTTGCATGGCTCCACATGAACTCACTTAATAAACTTTTCTATGATAGTTGCATTCCAAATGGAGAATTCGTACCTGCAGATAGATTTTTTGAGATAAACCGAAATCTGCAATTTTTACTACCATCGCGTCATTTATTAAACAATTACGAGTCGCTAAATCTCTATGGACGAATTTTCTGTCAGACAAGTAAACCATACCAGACGCTATTTGTAACGCAATATTTAAGAGATCTAGGTGAGACAATTGATTTTGGTGACTATCCTCCATTTCCACCCCTCTGGCATGACTGTTCGGGGAACACTGCCTACAACAACCAAATGACTCTGATTAAAATTCAGCGCAAAAATACCTCAAAAACTCGTTCAAGTCTCCTCTTCCCATGTATTCAAATAACAAGCACATGGGTCGTCCCATCGCGCAAACGCCTAACAGTTTTACAATATTCGGATGATCAAATTCAGAAAGCAAACAGGCTTCCTTTTCGAAGTCCTCCTGTAGATCTTCAGACGCTTCTTCTTTCAGCATCTTAACAGCGACCACAGTAAAATCCTCGCCCGGCATCAAAGCAGGCGCTTTCGCTTGGAATACCCTTCCAAAAGCACCCTGTCCTAAATCCCTTATGTAAATAATATCATTTCTAGGATACTCAAATTGTTCTAATTTCGGATTTAGCGTAATACCCGTCCTGTGAAGAAATCGCATCAACTTTTTGAAGGGGGAGTGACCAATACTCACCTATGGTACGACATATTGCTTGGTAACTTATCGAGATCAATAGTAACTTCGGCCGTACCTGTACGACCGTAACCACTTCGGCGTTTGTGGAAAAGCCGACACACAAGGAAAACTATCAGCATTAAAATGATAATGACGACGAGTCCCAGTCCGCACATGATAAGCAAAAATGTCGGCGTAAGCATCTGTTCTTCTTTTACGACCGAGTCGACGCAACGAGGTATGTCGCAATATTGCCATCGTACCGACGAATTCGTCGTAAAGCACCAGGGGACATGCACCTCGCCCCCCGCATTTCGGCAGTAATTTTCGGCATCTTGAATTTCGGGAAAAACGTTCGGTGGGCGTACATGGTAGTGAGGAGTTTGCACGTTCCACCATTGGCAGTCTAAACCGTCTTTGGTTTTATTCACTTTGCCCTGATAAAAGCGACCTCTGTCCTTTATGCAGTCATCTACAAGATAGTAACGTGTGAAGTATGCTTTAACACTTCAACTGAGACAAATAGAAGCAGAGTATAACAAAACTAATGAAAAATAATAAAAAGCAAATGCGCATATGCAGTATTCAAATCTGATAATTTTGAAAAATGAGAGCACATATTTTTTAATTCGGAAGTTAAAGACCCCAACAAAGTCCTTAAACAACTTAGGCACTACGTCAGCGCGTATGAGGTGGGTGGTGCTTTCGTCTCTCTAAGAAAATTATCAGAAGGCGACCTGATCTTGGATAGTCAGAGCAGAGAACAGCAAGCAGCGGTATCAAGCCCGCTCGGCGGGCATCCGGGCATCCAGAACAATATGCTACAAGGGAGTTGGAGTCACTTAACCCGAAAATCATACATACGTGAGTGGGCACGGGTACACAGACAAAATCTTACTGCTTACTCAGAATGATGAGGTATTTGAGCAAGGGGCCTCAGAAGACCGGGTAAAACTAGTTGGCAAACGGCGGTGTCAGAACCCCCAGAGGGAAAAACTTGATTATCGAGGTCAATTCGAAAGATTTCAAAATTATACAGAAAAACAGCTATGTATACTTGTCTAAAGTGCCAATTCTCTTAGTCTTACGTAACATTGCGAAACGCTGGAAGGTTGCAAAGATTGTCTGGCCCCAAAAACCTGGGAACAATGGCGTTCGCAATAATAATACCAAGATTATTACATACGGATAGATTATTAGTTTTACAGAGTAGAGAAAAGACAGAGAAAATAGGAATAACCATATATAAGACAGAGTTGGAACTACACGGAAAACAATAAGCTAACCGACAAGCGCAGTGGACAAGCAAAGTTTTTTTTTTGTGGCGGCCACTATCTCCCCACATAACCGCCACGTGGCAAACACGTGGTTGTATGTGGTCCAAACACGTGGTTGGAACGTGACTGCCACCATGACAGTGTTTCCCATTTTGGTAATGGCCATGTGATACAACCATGGTAATTACGTGGCAGTAACTTTGGCAATTCACTTTCAAGTTTTTTGAATCGTGGCTACCCACTAAAAATGTTGCTTGGGAGGATGCTTCTAGTTCTAGTGAAGACAAACATATCACATATATAAGTACTAAAAATTCAATGTAGGTACCCATGCGCAATGTCAATTTGATTATTTATAGACATATTTTTTTTAAATGTTAACCATAGGTAACTGGTTCTAGTCTGATCCAAAGTTTGAAATTTTTACAATCAATGGTATCAAGTAGAATCACTATGGTTCACTTGGTTTTCAAAAAAGATGACTTCGTTACCAATAATTTGATACCACACACAACTTGACCGCATTTTAAATGATTCAAGGCACTCTAGTTTAATCAAACGATAAAAAAATTGACCATTAGACATAAAAGGGACAAGGTGGGGTATTGATTTACTCAGACTGCCATTTTGTATCAAAATAAATAACCAAAATTCAAAGTGTTCCATTTAAAAATCAAAATTTAAACCAATTTCTGGCTAAACGGGCAGTGACAAAAAACATTGAACAAAATCTAATCTTCAATTTTCATTTCTTTATGTTAAAAGCCAGGTTTGAAAACCACCCATGTATGGGCATGGCAAATCCGTGGTGCCATAGCTGGGGCTGGCTGAGTGCTAGCCATTGCTTCATCTACTGTAGCAGATTGTGGCCTTGAAATAGGCAGTCTGCAATCGAGGGTCTTGGCCTGAACTAAGATGAGGCAACCTCAATTAAAAAAACCCAAAGTTCCAAGATATAAGGTAGATCCAGGACCCAGCCGCCTTGAGCATGACCTAAAGATATAGATTTTGCTTTAATCAAAGAACCCTGAGCCCACCAGGTCAAAGGCTTAGGTGAATCTGGACGATTGTCTTGGCAGCCAGTTGTCCTGATCCTTTTAAGATACTCTTGAATATGCTAGAAAGATGAGGAAAGCTCTGGAAAGCGTTCTAAACGTTTCTAGGGCCTTAAAGGGCACTCCAGAACATTCTGTTACTCTTCCTAGGATCCTTCTACCAATTTCAAAACCCAGGAAACCACCTAATTCTGAGTGCTTCCACAGGCTTCTAGCCTTTTACATCCTTTCAAGTAGCATTGATGAAAAAATGAAGCAGGTCTTTGTCGTTGTGCGTCCTAATAAATTTGAAAAAGAAGACATGAGCACAACAATGTAGACCCCTCTCAATGTATCTAAGCCCAACCTTCATTTTTCTAAATACTGAAAAACCGCGAACCTGCAAATTCAGGCTTTAAAGTGCGAGTACAAATTAAAATACACATGGGGCCCCTCTATACCTTCGTACACGAGATAGCAGCATGAAGACATAGAGGATCTCATAGACTCACATGTTATTTCGTCAGTCTTCATCTCTGTCAAGCCAGCATAGGAACAAGTTCGTGAGCTGTTCTGATTTTTAAAGTGAGGTAATGTGTCACAGTCTGGAAGTTGAAAATGCCCTTTAGATTTAAACGTAATATTACGCTGCTTATTGTCTTCTATCAGTGCCCAATCAATATGGCAAAATTGTTGTTTGACGGCGATACAATCTTCGTAGCATAACGGCAATCCAACTTCTCTATTATTTTGCATGGAACACTCGGGAAAGGCATATAGGCATAGCAGCTTCTGCAAGCAGAGAAGAGTCAGTGTCGGGGAAAAAAGGGATTACACTACCTCGGCCGCACTCCGACACGGTTCCTTCAAACCGACAATCATTTGATCCCATAGCTTGGTAGTAATCTGCTCGTTTAACCAACCACCTGTATTATCCTTGGTTGCGTTGTACCACACAAATCCGGTATTATTCAAGTAACTGCTGCAAATTTTCCCATTGTATGAAGCGCAATAGCCATCAATTTCGGATTTACAAACTGTAATTATCAATAAAAGTATCACAAAGGCGGTAATCATAATTTAAATAATGCCGCATCGATGGCTCCCTTTTCAGTTTGTTAAACTTTCCAACTTGGAAGAAATGGGTTTCGTTTAGTTAGTTGAAAGAGCAGCATTTTTTACCCCAATTTTTAATTCTTATTAGAAATTATTGATAAAAATTTCTGACTAAACATGACAACAGAAAACTGCTGCCAGATTACAACAAACAAACCAAACCTACAAAGCATAGGGGTACGCAAGGGGCGCTTATTGTATTATGCCATGATGCTGCCTACGCCAATGAGATCAAAAGATGCATTTTAGCGGCGAGACCGTTATCTTATGCTTTCTCCCAATCATCCGATCGCTCGACCATTCACTCACTCACTCGATGGCTTCATGTCCCAACGATTTAAAAGAGTACAGGTGAACCAATTACGATGAAATTTTGAAGGTGGAATTATTTATCCAATTTATAAATCAGAGTTCGTGAATTGCAAATGTAGTCCACAAAATAAGGAACGCCCTTTTGACATCTCCGTTAGTTATGAACAGAATTACCCGAAATGTTGTATGTCGGCACCTTGAATAAAAGCAAAACTAATGCCAAATCAAAAAATTTGTTTTGCGCATGCGCAATCCGTTTTTTTGAAGATATTTGAATAACACGTCTTTATTTTTTCGACCTGACAGCTAAAATTATAGCTCCAAAATGCAAGAAGACAAAAATGGATAGAACGAAGTTAAACAACAAATTGCCCCACGAGGATAGAGCATGCAGCTCAGAATTGTGGGATGCTCTAAGAACCCAACCCACTGTACATTTACATATATCCATGCCCAAATCCGGATTCAGTCTTTTTTAGTACCGCAGTCGCGCTTTCACACCACTGCACCACACATATTAAAAAGAATACAAAAGAATAAGACGCTGCCTTATGGATTCGGGGTTGGGGGTGAGAATATAGTTTCGATTTCAAGCTCTAGACATAGTATAGGCTATAGAAAAAAGAATTAAAATGAGGGTTGCCCCTTATATTTTAGGCTCATGTGAACTTATTTATGGACAGGGGTTTGAACCCATACGAATTATATAGGTTCCGGTTCCGCACTACTTTGGTAGCAATATTTTTTTTAATTAAACACAATCAAATTGCTTGTATAGCAAACAAAAAACTTCTAGAGAATTCTCGAAACAGTATATCATATTTCATGGAAAGAATAAGTCACATCCGTTTTCATTTCTTATCTCTCTAGAAAATTCGCTACAATATCTACTCTGTCGATGGTAATTTCTATTTGAAATGTTATAGGGCATCGGGATATTTCACAGGTACACCATAAATAAAAATTGAAATATTAATTATATAAGTAATTAATGTTTATTCTAAAATTTTAATCAATTTGGAAAGTTAGCCTTAATTTTAATGTACAAAAGGTATTTAACGCGAAACATGAGGTTGTTTTTTTGAGCAAAGGTGGTCCAAACTTGGGGCAATCATTGACAGAATTGCTCTCATTTCTTTGTTGTTCGTCCTCACACGTTCTCTCTTTTGTGTTTTTAACGTACTATAACAGAAATTTAATTACGTGAATTATTATGTACATTTAATAAATTTATAACATGTAGTCTACATGCTGGTACGTGATAAATCTACATGATGTACATTTATCTCGAGCGCGAAATCACTACTAAAAAAAATCTAGGAGTATCATATTTCAAGGATGGAATGCGTCGCATCCTTTCATTTTTTATCGCCTTCATGGCGCCCCGATGCCTGGGATACTCGCTATAGTAACAGTGGAAAATCAAGTGATTCGCTGCTGCTTTGTAATAAAAACTTAGCGCACAGCTACTTTTATAGAGACAGAAGTGTCAAACTGACAAATACACAGAATTTAATTTTAGGATAAATAGGATTAGATAAATTTATATAATAGGGTGATTTGCAACGGCGTAGCGAACCAACGAAGAGCGTGAATAAAGGGCGGCAAACATTCTCTCAGCCCCGGGCGCCACGAACCTACGCTACCCCGCTGTTGATTTGGTTTAAATTTTAAATGCTTATCTTAAGCGGAAATGTGTGTAACGTATGTTTGTCTGCTTAAAGTTGTATATATGTCGTAGGCATATTGTAAAATCCGTCATTTTATAATACGCCTAGGCAGTTTTATGTCGTAGGCATTTTGTAAAATCCGTCATTTCTAAATTGCGGAGTCATTTCGTGAAATGCTGACCTGTGGGGTTGGGGTAGTTTTCCTTCCCCTTCTAGATGCGTAAGGGATCGCTCTTGAAGAGGGAAGGGAACCAATCGCTTACCTCTAGAAAGTACACTGCCCGCGTTTTATAAACTGCGTATTATAAAATGACGGATTTTACAATATGCCTACGACATATACACTGTGTGTCTGTGTCCAAGATAAGGATGTCTATCATGGGGATCTTGGAAACCATAGAAGATACAAAGATGGTCAACTTAGGGCAAAATTGAGTAATTAAAGAGTTATTACTATGGGGTAAAGAAAATCAAAAAATTGCAATTACTTCGGCAGGTATTCCAGAAAAACTGAAATTGCCGATTTTGTTTTTATTTTTTTCTGATGTTATTTAAACAGATACCAAAAAATAAAAACACTTTCTCATTGCTACTATTTGAGCTGTAAAAGACAGCGTCGAGATTTTCAATACAACGATTCGACAAAAAACACTATATTGAGTAGCATTTTTTACTACGGATTGGCACACAAAAAAAAACAAAAGAAACTGTTTCAACAAAACCTGCGCACAACGCCCTAATACTTAGAGAATACCTATTGTAAATTTTTCCCTTAATTTGACCATGTTCGTATTCTCTATATTACACATTCATATCTTGAACGCAGTTATACAGGGTGAAAAACCTCTAAGAAGTAGGCACTTTCCAAATTATGTGACACACGATTTAACAAACTTTATAACAAATATAAACAAAAAAACATAAAAATATTAATTTATTTAATCTATTTATTATATTAAAAGCAGCCTAATTTTCGTTGTCAAACACACTTAATATATACAGTGCACCTACAAACAAGTTAAAAGATTTGTACAATCAAACCACAAGTATGGATTTTTAAATTATTGCTAATCACTAATTTACAGTATTGTAATATAGAGTTCGGTTTGGCAAATTTTGAGTTCCACTATAATCGCGTACTTGAAAATCGAAACAACTTTTCAATCATTCCGCACTTTTTTGAGGTATAAAACTTAAAGCTAATACTACAATCACAAGCAATTCAAGAAGTACGTTTATTGCCAAAGTTTGGCGTATTGCGAGAAGTCGATTATCCTCTTATCTGCTTATCAAGTGGCTAGAAATGGAAGACTACTTATGGGCGGAATGTTTCGAAATGGAATAATTTGAAATGTAATCACAACTCTTTCATTTACAGATTTAGAATTTTTACATTACAGAGCATTTCCGAACATAACCTGTTTAGGGTATGCCGCTTTACTTTCTTATGTACCCAAATATCCACTTACTATTATATCTACTTTTCGGGACAATAAATTTGGGGAGTATGTAATTTATTAAATAATAAAAGTTAGCAAGTGGACATTTTGGTACACATCCAGTTTTTATTTCCAGATCCTGGGACCATACCTAGTTTATGGTAAAAAAAGACCTTGTTAATGAATTACTCTGTATAAAACGCTTTGGCAATACACTGTTATTACTAAAATTGTATCCCAACAAAACAAAATTGTTGTTATCCTATTGCACAAAGAATTTAATAGTACCATTCGTAACACAAGTCGTATACAACATAAGGCTAATTTTGACCTACCTATAGTAGCAGTACTATACAAAAACACCGACATCCATACCAAATTCTACGTAATGAAGGTAAGAGCTTATTTATCTTAACTATTGCTTTCATTTTACAACCGCGGTAACAATGCAACCTACGATTTCATCCCCGTACAATACCTAAACTACAAAATTTACAAGGTTAAATAATACTAAAAAATTTGGTACGAAGATGTAACAAGGATGACTGCACGCAAATGAACACACGTTGTATTGAAAATTTAACACCGGAACTAAATGCTTACATCACTTGTAAAATTTGGCTCGCCTCAAATGCGGTACCTGGCAGAAGAATCACAGGACTGGAAACGTGCCCGGCTTCGACGCATACCATATTCGGATACTCGTCGTCACCGAAATCGGCCATATCTTTGGCATGATCCACCCAAGGATTCCAGACCACGGTGTCCGGAAAGTTATACTTCTGTATGCGCATCTTTCTACCCGACACGACATTAGTTATAATATGTTCTTGGGGCGTATTTTGATAGATACGATCGGTCCACTCGCCGATTGTAACCACATCGCGTCCCTCTTGGTACACAGTGTTCTCGCGCGTTTTATCTATGAAAGTACAGCCATGTAAACCAGTTATTTGGCACCTTCGAACGTCAGGAACTTTAAAATACGTATGCAGTAACATGTTGAAGCTGAACGTCAGATCCTTATTCGGATTATAAACTGCTATGTTAAAGTGTAGCTCTTTCTCTCTCAAGATAAGGCGATAGGTTAACCTGAAACTAAAAATTGAACACATTAGGAAACGATCTACACGCAAATCAACAAAATGATTAATTCAAAAGTGTGGTGGGTAAAACAACATCCACGACGCATATTCCAGTTTTCCTGTGGTTAGTACAGATATCACCCGCACACCTGCACTTGCGCGATTCTGCCCAAAAGCTTTTCAGGTTTCCCATTTATGTCTAAGAAAAGGTATACCAAATTTGGTTCCAATCAGTTCAGCTGGTTAGAAATGAGAGTTTGACACACTTGCGCGATTCTGTCAAAAAGCTTTACAACTCTTCCTTTTATCTGAGAATTGCGTACCAAATTTGGTTCTTTGATTCAAACTCCTGGTGCTTCCAAACGCGCATTTCCATTCCAGTAGTTCCTAACACAATTTCTCAATCTTGATTTTAACTTCTTTTGTATTAAAAAATGCAAAAAAGATTTTCGCTTTGAGGCGAGCAACTTTAGCGCATTTTCCATGAATTGATGAGTACTTCTCAAAGGTCATCTAAATGTAACTGACTATTTATGTACACAAAGGAAACTATGGAATAAATATTCTTATATAATAACATTGCGCAGCCTGTAAACCTGATGTTTAAAATATGCGGTATGCTTGTCTTTATAGAAGCACCTGTGGTTACAATTAAATCTTGTAGCTAAACAAGTATTTTTAGCTTCCTAGGTCTAGCTAGGTGGCTATTGCGATCACGGTTTTTTTTTGACATGTTAAGATTTCATCAAATGATCATTTTAAGTATCTTTCAGAGAATACAAATTTTGTCCGTCTGTACGTATGTACAGGCTGTCCTCTTAATAAAGGTCATAGCATAGGCCATATCTATAGCACTGTTAACTGCACGGGTTGGGGAAAAAAATTTTGTTAACAAAAGCGGCTCAAAGAAATCGCTCCTAAGTTTGCCGCTAGAGGGCGCACAATTCATGGTTAAGTAAAACAATAATTTTTTCCCTACAATATACGCAACAAGCGTGCATTAAATAATACATGCTTCACAATCTTGTATGAATTTTGCATCATTTTGATGCAGCACATATTGCCCTAGCTTACTTTTTAAACAAAGGGCCACAGAATAAAGTATCCAATAACTATGTTTTGTATAGTATTTTTCAACTTAATAAAAAACAAAACATTTTATTCTAAAGAAAATAAACAGCGTCATTAAAATTAAATATTTCGTTATATTACTTTATTTGTTTAATTACCAGAGGTTCCCTCTCAATTCACCGTAACTTTTCTGATAGGTAACATTTTCATTCATTGAATATGCATTTACGTAACTAATTTAAATCCGTTGACCAATCACATTCATAGCAATAAGCAATTGGAGTTGTACTGGTGGAACCAGAAATTGAGATTGGGATGGGGACAAAAAGCAAAGGTATTTCATATTATTATTTTTCTATAACCTCCCTAAAAATGAGATTATAAAGTATAAATTAGAGGTATGATATAGTACTCATTACGTACACGCGTGCGTAATGAGAAAATTAGAATAGATCATGTACGTTTGTAAGTGATAATTATCCACAAATGTCAAAACTGTCAACAGACATCGTTTTGAGTTTTGCCTTATTTTCATTTCGAAATTCACAGAGGTCGAAGAAAAAGTATGGTACGTAATTCGGTTGTAATTTGCGTATTACAGGTTCATAGAATTGCCGCACTCTGCCGCATTTTTCTACTCACCTATAATACACACTATTACAACCTTATGACAGAATATTTGCCTAATTTATCAAATATTTTAAACAACATATGGATTAAATTAATTTTGTTTTCCAACGTACCACAAGGCTCTGTTTTAGGGCCTTTTGTTTTTCTCTATATAGAATGTGCTCAATTATTGTCCTGTAATTGAATGTTATATCTGTTGGGCAATTAAATGTTATTATTATTATTAAGACAAGAAAAATCTTTTTACTAAAAAATGTGATATGTGCGTTCTATTTATGACAAAGCCAATGTAAAACAATTTCATTCATGGCAATAAACTATTATTAAGCAGGCGAAAAAAAGAAACGTCAACCGTACTTAATAGCATGTTCCAATAGAAAAAATATTAAGTAGCTCATGTTTCAAAAACTAAAAATGTTATACATAAATTGTATATAGAATTGACAAATAATGCCAAAAATGAAATAATATATAGGTGTTCCATTTAAAAGGTTGGCATCAACTTCACCCGGAAGTACCACCAACTTGAAAATATTTACATAAATTCCTTTGACAGTAGCACATAACCAAATATTCCAATATTTCCTTTTTAATGACAGCCGGCAGTCGTCGAGGGACACCCTGTGCATTGAAGGTTGCACTTCACAGCTTTTTCGGATATTCCCATTTTTTGTACTGGCAAAAAGAAAATTCTGATCTGGACAAAATCTTAAGCTGAAGATAATGAACTTGAAAATATGAAAAAAATTAAACCAAGTGAAGGTGACGAACTACACCACCTTCACCTTTATGCACATGCACTTGAGATAGGAAAAGGTTACAGTGGAGAGATAATAAACAAAAAATGGTTTCCTTCAGACGCGCGTAACCTTCATCTAACCTAATTACGCAAAGACTTACGGATAATTCCACATTGAACGTGTGAAATCGTTGTCCATAATTGAAAAGATAGCCTCGACGTCGCCGCTTGCGAGCCTTTCGGGTGCTTTTTCTAAACTCCATCGCACTATTCGAGCAAAACCGTGCTGGGGACCAAAAGTCCAAGGTCCGAATTGAGCTGATAACAGAGTGTTAATCTTACATAATAAGTGAAGATTTCACTTACGAAATACAAAAGGAATTCCTCCACGAATGGCCTTCTTTCCGTCAAAAACTGCTTGCTTACTAAAACAGGCAGAAAATGGAACGTTTTTGACACAGAAAATAAACTATTCTTACCTCACAAACAGCTGTTCTTGATTGTTAACCCTCCAAGACACAACAGTAGCGCCTAAAATTCAAATTGTTATATGTACACAAAAAGTTTGGTTAAGTATTCAAACGATAAGTGAAATGCATGAAGGAGTAATTTGACAAAGAGACGATAGAAATAAATTACCGTGTAAATTAATTGTGCAGGTCGTATTATTTCCTCTGTCAAGAACCACAACACTGGTAGCGGCCATGACAAATTTCCAAGAGACGGCCTGAAGCCGGTGACGCGCCTTCGGTTGTCAGTTGCGTTGCCGCAAAAAGTTCACTTTTTCAATTTCACTACCTGCGCTCTTACTTCACAGGTGCTAAGTCCCTCTATTGGTCGTTAAAAAATTGTCGGATAATCATAAATTGAGCACAGCTTCGACCGACGACGCGACTATTATAATGTGCGCATTAACAGATCGTCTATCAAGAAGAAAGGACGCAACTAGTTTTTCATTCATCTTTACAAAAAACGAAATTATTCCTGGTCTGGGCGGAATCGAGGACCGCAGTTCGTATGCTGCCATCTTTAGATAGACGGAGATACCTCTCCATAGAGATCTGCATGAATGCTACCACATTGAAAATGTATTATACAGGATGAGACAACCATAATGAAAGTACTGAAATGAAAATACGTAACGACCAAGGACGTTAAGGTATTTTTAACCACTGCTTTCCTGCTGTGCATCCAAAGCACCATCTCACCTCAGCCCCTTGGTCGATGCAATGTACTTTTACACACTCAACTGCAGAATACCCAATCACCAATGGAGTACACGACATGGACTATCCCGATCTCAGATCACTTTGAATCGTCTCTGCCTGGGCCACACTCGAGCTACCCATCTCCATCATATTCTCTTCAGCTCCACCTGTCAGACACCAGTAACAGTACATCATATTCTTCTGGACAGTCGTGCCTCTTTATCACCCAAAGACAGAACTGGACTGGGATCATCACTTGTTGAAGTTCTGGGCAACACTTCAAACAATGGGAAGAAAGTGATACAATACCTCAAGATACATACCATCGAATGATATTCGTATTTTTAGTTATCATCACTTGTACCATAATTCACATTCTCCTTTACTGTTTTACATATTGTATCTTAAAAGTTCCATAATAACCCACAAGATTGATGCTTAAGTATCTTTAAATAAAAAAAAGTTGGACAACGTTTCTCGAAATGGATAAAAATTGCCCAGTATGATACTGTCATCATAGGCAAGTCATAGATCTTCTGATGCTACGCACTGCTGTTGGTTCTTTCAAAAAGAATGTCTATTTCCAGAACAGTGCAAAGAGTAACAGCCCTACTGTTGTATTGTGTTGGAAAGAAGAAGCTCAGGCAGATGTGTAGCAAGAACCCTAGCCTTTCAGAGATGTACTAACCCACTCCTCCCTCTTGCACGAAAGGTGTATGAAAAAGACGTGTCAATGGATCCCGGCAAAGATGACGACAGAAAAGATCAGGCAGCCTCCAAGTGCTCCGAGGTTTTCGTAATTAATAATAACATATAAATATGCTATTAATTATGTTTTTTTTTTGTAAATAAATGTTATACCTTAATTCTTGGTTTTAAAGTACTCGTATACTTTGTGCGTGCAACGTAAATGTTTTTGGTGTGAGATAGAGTTTCTAAAAATGCACGTTTTTCACGTTAGAGAGAGGGGGGTCATAAATGTTCCAAGATGAGTGATTAAGATAATTAACATCGAAATGATGGTAATATAGCAGAGCTGGGCAGTATTCGATTTTGTAAATACTTTTTAGTATTCATATCCTTTAAAGTATTCAAATACTTTGTAATTAAATACCTACTTTTATGGAAGCAGTATTTGTTTTTGTAACTCAAATACTTTCACAAATATTTAGTATTCGAATACTTCGCAAAGTATTTAGATACTTCGTAAAATTTCGAAAGAAAATTCAAAGGGCTGTAACTTTTGAACTAGTACCCCAATCTTGGAACTGTTTGAAATTATGGATTCTACAGGCCACATTCTATAACAAAAATTTTCCGGGTCGATCTGAGACAATTTTTTTTCAGGCCTCAGAAAAAGGCAGTGTATAACCTTCCTTTTTTACAAAAAATCGATTACACCAAAATTTCTCGGGAAAACACTTCTTCTTATTAATTTTGGTACGTAAAATCCAAAACAATTCGTACTTTTTCGATTGGACTTCTCTATCAAAAGTTATGGACTAGAAACCAATTTCGAAAGAAAATTCAAAGGCCTGTAACTTTTGAACTAGTAGCCCAATCAAGGAACTGTTTGAAATTATGGATTCTACAGGCCATATTCTATAAGAAAAATTTGTTTCCGGGTCGATCTGAGAATTTTTTTTCGCGCCTCAAAAAAAGGCAGTGTATAACCTTCCTTTTTTACCAAAAAACGACTGCACCAAAATTTCCCGGGAAAACACTTTTTCTTATTAATTTTGGTGCGTAGAATCCAAAACAATTCGTACTTTTTCGATCAGACTTCTCAATCAAAAGTTATAGACTAGAAACCAATTTCGAAAGAAAATTTAAAGGGCTGTAACTTTTGAACTAGTAGCCCAATCTTGGAACTGTTTGAAATTATGGATTCTACAGACCACATTCTATAAGAAAATTTTTTTCCGGGTCGATCTGAGACAATTTTTTTTTCGGGGCTCAAAAAAAGGCAGTGTATAACCTTCCTTTTTTACCAAAAATCGACTGCACCAAACTTTCTCGGGAAAACACTTTTTCTTATTAATTTTGGTGCGTAGAATCCAAAACAATTCGTACTTTTTCGATTAAACTTCTCAATCAAAAGTTATAGACTAGAAACCAATTTCGAAAAAAAATTCAAAGGGCTGTAACTTTTGATCTAGTAGCCCAATCTTCAAACTGTTTGAAATTATGGACTCTCGATCGATCTCGATCTCAGACAATTTTTTTTCCGGCCTCAAAAAAAGGCAGTACTTTTAAGTTATTCAAATATTTGAGAACAATTTAGAAATGTTTAGGGAAAGTTTCTATTGTCACAAAATCAAATATAAAAATCCGATACATCTGAATACCGAACTCGATAGTCTACGTAACTTAAAAACAATAGGGACCTTTCTTATATCCTTAAAACCATGTGTACCAATTTTCAAAGCGATCGCACGTTTCTAAACAAGTTATCATGCACATGGACAAACGGATGGTCAAAAATGGATCTGTTCCAAAATCGCTAGGATTTCAGAAATACTTTTGAAAGTATTCGAATACATTCTAAAGTATTTGAATACTTATTTTTTTAAGTATTTGAATACTTTTCAATGTATTTGTATCTAGTATTCGCTTGTGCTGGACGTAAAAGTATTTAGTATTCAAATACCTTTGATTTGTGTAAAGTATTTACTATTTAGTATTCAAATACTTTTTGAAAGTATTCTGTCCAGCTCTGTAATATAGTTATAGACCCAAAACCTTCATTTTTCGGCAATTTTTTTTACATTTTGAGAGACTTTGTCTAACTTTGATCAGCTGTATTTAGGTTAATATTGGGTCTAAAAATTCCATCCTAGTGTACTCCCAACAACTTGTAAAAATTCCATCAACTTTGAAATACTGTCCAGATAAAAAGTGGATATCGACTGGACTAATTATCATTAGGGGAAGGACGGGTGCAAAAAAAGTGTTTTCGTTCATAATTGTTAGTGTATTTTTGTATTAAAAAATACGCTATTATATTCGTTATGGCTGGCTGGTTGAGATCTCAGCAATTACAACAGCTAGAGACTTCAAATTTTCACTAAAAGCTCTCTGCTATAGTGTAGATGTGCAGGCTCTAGTCTATTTTGGGTTAGATTACGAATGAGATAGATAATTTTAAACTTCGCTAATAAAATACTGATCGGTATTACCAAAAATACGCTTTCATCATGCATATGCTGATTTACAACTTGTTTTATTAATTTAAAATGAAACAAACATTTTATAATATGGATATTGTTACCTACTGATTAAATTATTAAAGCATAAACAATTTAAATTAAACACGGTAAAATCTAAAAAAAGTTGCAAATGACCCCTAAGCAGCATTCGACCAGTGAAGGGGAAACTTTTGGCCATGCACAGACAATTAATAAAAAATTTAAAATTCGCATCATTTGAGAAAAAAAGTATTAAAATTATAACAGAAATGAATATATGATGCTGTTCTTGTTGTTCCATTCTTTGGAGGAGGTTTTAGTTTGTTTATAATGTCATCCATAGCAACTTCAGGTAGGTATGCCATCAATTGGTGGAAAATAAATTGTGGGTTAGTTTTCTTTTATTTTAGCTACTTTAAATTTCACTAAAACAAAATCCTCATCGTTAAGAGCATATTTGTTAAATTGTTTTCAAATTCATCACTTAAATCTTCATCAGATTACTCGTCTAGAGACAATGCTATGCTCTAAGACTAAGATGATGATTAATCATTGTGGTCTTCTACTTTAAATACCTTCTTGGATTTTTTATTTTCTTTTATTTCCATCTTATACTCAAATAGTTTTCTCTCTTTTCTTTTTATTTTCTTTCTCTGGCTCTGCTACGTCTAACCTCTCTTTTTCAGGAGTGTATATACTCGTAAAATTCTCGCTTATAGAAATTGTATGGATAAACCATTTTTGAGTTATAGTTGAAAAACCGAAAACAAGTGCCAAAATTTCGAGGTTTTTCGCTTTCCAAAAAAGCTAAAGCCGGTGGTTTCGAGTTGGCAAACTTAGATTCACCATGTCTATACCGTCCTTTGACATATAAAAAAATAAAATTCTTAGGGACAATTAATGCAAGGTGCAACTCCTCTCAGAAGTGGTCAGAGATGATACCTTTATGTGCCTTTAAAGTGGGGTTTGTGTATCATGTAAGCAAAATTAAGAAAGAAAATATTCTGTGTACTAAAAAATGACATAGGTACATCACTTACAAGCAACAATAGATCAATTGTTATGTCAAAATGACAAACATTTATAATTTATGAAGTGGGGAAGGGTTATTACTTTTAGGTGCTCTAAAAGGGTGTAGACAATAGCAAACAAGGAACAAAGATGTTTGACATACCACAAAAAATTACAGTCCTTACATTGAACGGAATGTTATTTGAAAGTCAGTTTTCTTTGAAACCGATAAGGATTACACTTTTACGCTTTTGTTGCTCTTGGGTATCAAATCAACCAAGGAAGTATCATAAAAATACAGCCCTTACAGTCAGTTTTCATAAAAAATTATAATTTTTGAAACTGGGGTGGGATATATGTTTATGTGCACTTAAAGGATGGCTTGTGGACCTTGTGAACAAAATCAAACAGGGAAATAATAAAATGACATGATGCTTTTTGAAGCGGGGGATCCTGTAAACAATATCAAACAAAGAAACCCAAATGCTTGAAGTATCACAAAAATTACAACCCTTGCAATAGACCGATAATTATATGTAAAGATTAATCTTCATAAAAAA